TACAAAATGATGTAAAAATAAACTTTTGTAATAAAGAGACATTTTGTGGGGGTGGAGTGGGGAATGGGATCAAAAACGGGGTGGGGGGAGGGAAATGCACGGGATTATGGGGATGGCACATGGGTGACTTGGTGATGGGAAACCCGAGGGTATTACAATTGAGATGGAAAAAAAAATGTACAAAATGATGTAAAAATAAACTTAAAAACAAAAAAATAAAAAGACCCTTTCTCCTATAGTCCTGGTGAAAATTTCCCAGTCATAAGCCCAAAAGCCCTTAGCGGATACATTCAGACAAGGTTTGGTTACACATAAATTTTACTTTGGCACTGGGTTGGCTAAGTTCTGAGCAAGCAGTTCTTTGAGAAAAGAGGCCCACCTGCTGCACCTAGTATGCTTACAGACCATGGATTTATTTGACCTGGCCAACCACAGAAAGCTTGCTATCCTGGCGGGCGAATGACTGGCCGCAGGTGCGCGCCTCCGGGCCTGCCTCCTGGCCTTGAGCCAGCGCCAATTGTGACGGACCTCCACCTGGCTTCCATGGGCCTCCACGAGGCTTCCACAGCTGGGCGTGGCCTTGCGCAGCAGCCTGGTTGTGGAGGCCAGGGTGCGTCAGTCAGCAGAACCCCTACCTCCATCCCCACCCCAGTTTCTATCAGCTTCCTGCCGTTTTACTACATTTTCTTCCTTTGCCTCCTGAGTGAGTGGCCATGAACTGGACTGCAAGAGTCATGCGGAATGGCAAGAGAATAAGTGCTGAGGGAGTGAATTTCTTTTGTTGGAGGATGACTCTGTGTCCCCTGCAGGCTTCAGGCATCCGACTTGGCTGGCGGTACACCTCTGTGAGTGTGGGGAAAGTGCCTCACACCTGGCAGTTCTCCACTGTGGGCTTAGGAACCCTGAGCTTGATCCTGGGGCTAGTTGCTGTGGAGGGGAAAACAGGGTGTGGTAAAGGAAAAGGGTGGCCAAGTCGGGGTTGGGAGCTTGAACGTACCAGCTATAATTTTTTTTTCCTTTGGGCAGAAGCAGTCCCTTTCCCCTCCTTCATTCCCTCGTTACCCACCTTACCTGTATCCATCTTCCTCATCCCTTTGTTTTGCCTCTTGGGTGCTGCACTGCTACCTAGCAGTTACCCAGCTTCTTTGCTAGTTATCTGTCATTTCCGGGTGTGTCTGCCGCTGAAGTTCTCAGTATGCCCCTCACTACCGAGCAGTTCCAAAGTGGGAAGCGCTGTGTGGCTTTTCTTCACTTTGTTAGGTTTCCAAGATGGCGACTGTGAAGCGTGAACTAACGAAGAATTTCACGTCAGAGAAGGTCGTTCATCACACCAAGGTCTCCATTATAGGAACAGGATCGGTCGGTATGGCTTGTGCAATTAGCATCTTATTAAAAGTAAGTTGTGCTCTGCCATAGGTTTACCCAAGTTTTTCTCAGTTAGAGGCGATGGTACCGCACACATTTGTTGGGGGGGGGGGTGGTCTGGGAGTGGGCTGGCCGCTCCCTGCTGGCTTAGGTCAGAGCAACCCTTTTAAAAGTTGTGTCCTTTGGAAAAATGCACAAAATGATATAAAAATAAGCTATTATATTCTTTTTAAAAAAGTTATGTTCTTTGTGCTTTTCCAATTCTTCCATGTAAAGGACCTGCTTTTTCTAATTTTTTGCCATAGTGTGTTTTCTCTCCGCTCTGCTTTCATCATGTGATGACAATAATGACAATATGAAGTACTCCTTTGCTTGCCTAGTTTACAAAGTAGGCGGTAGAAGATCTGAATTTGCAATTTGTTAGTTGTGATAGGTGCCTTGCTATTACCAAATGAATAATGTTTCTTTTAAACATCTCTTTTCAGTTTCCTAGTTTCTTTCCCTTCCTTTTATTCATGTCAGGTTAGTTTTAATGTTGTCCTTAGGATTGATATAACTGATCAAGTTAGCTTCAGTATAATGGCTACAGGAACTAAAATTATTCTGATCCCTTTTAAAGAATATTACCATAATCTGGCACTTGAATTTAGTAAATTCTCTTTGAACTGTACTTTGCTTTTAAAGGAATGTCTGTACAATTTCTATAAACTACTTTTTATAATATTTACAGTTGGCATGGTTTATACTTACGTGATATGTCTTTAATGCACTAAAAGCTTCACCTGTTGTGGCTGTTCATGACAACCGCTAATACTCCAAAGCTCATTTTGTCCTACTGACTATAGAGCCTTTATCAGCTGCGTTCTCACCGCTAATGAAGCATGCAGATGTTATACCAGTGCTTTCTTTCAGCACTGGCAATAATGATTAACAATATTCCTTTTGAGTACATTATGTAATACAACCTTAAATGTAATTATTACATCTATTTTATAGATTGGGAGAAAAGGCGAAGACTGTTCCAGGTTATATGCATAAAGATTTTCTGTATATGTTAGCTGTATACTTAAAGATTTATCATCTTTGCATTGAAGGGCCTTTCCTGGGAGGGATTAAGCCATAGCCCTAAAAGAAAGGGATTATAGCCATGGCCTCCTAGAGCTGGAATTCTGTGGTGCTGCAAGCTACCATTTGTGTATCGTACAAAATGGTGTACAATCCCCCTGCAAAACCCAGGGTCAAGGCTAACTTTAATCTCTTCCTTCATCTGATTCTAGACTCGATACTTGGACTCAAGGAATTGGTGATTCCTTAAACGTTCTTTGATGACAAAGAAGGAATTCTCAGTAGGAATTGTTTTTAATTTATCTGCAGGAACTTAATGATACCATTCTAGTAGAGAAACAGCAATGTCTTGGAAAATTACTTAATTTTACCAAAATACAAAACTCGTTACTCTGATGTGATACCCATGTGAGCTGGAATTTTTGTCACTGAGTTTTGTGTACTGAGCCTGGAATAGTACCTAGTGTACTGGACATTTAGCAGTTGAGTAAAAGAATTGCTAAAAGCCAACGCATCTAGGAAAAAAAGGAATGGATAATAAATACAGAGATTGGGTATTCTGCTCACTTGATCATTTATTCCTAAGTTCTATCGAGCACAGAGGCATTTTTTTTTTTTGGTGAACATTTCAATAGGATAAAATATTTAAAATACTTTTTGAAAGCCAATACATTCATGAAGTTAAAAAATAGAAAAATAACATGGAAAAAGATACACAAAGAAGTCACATTTCAAGTTCCCATCCCCCCTTCCCATCTGTGTATATTCTAGTGTTTTCTTTTGCAAATGTAAAAATATAATTATTTTCCTTCATTTTTTCATTAATCAAGTGTACCCTCTCTCCCCCCACCACCACTATTGACTTTTAGGGCTTGAGTGATGAACTTGCTTTTGTGGATAATGATGAAGGCAAACTGATGGGTGAAACAGTGGATCTCCAACATGGTAGCCCTTTTATGAAAATGCCAAATATTGTTTCTAGCAAAGGTTAATGTCATTGTTAAAAACTATAAAATTTCCAGTATTACATGAATAAGTAAGAAAATCATACATGTATTTCTCTTTATGAAGACTTCCCCATTTCTCACAGATAAAGCTAATATTTTTCTACTCTGCATTCTCGTAACATGCTCAGATTTCATTAGATTGTACTTAATTTGTTTATAAAGTTTCCTACAGCACTAGGCCATGTTGCTATGAGCATCAGTTATTATGACAGTTAACATTGATTTCCCATTTTATGTCAGTTAAGCACTTTGTACATATTAATCAATTTTCACTATTTAACTGCTTTATAGATGATGCACTGTCAAACTAAGATAACAAAAGTGATCATGTAAGAATTTGAACCTAGTTCTGAGAAGCCTAAACACTCAACTACTACTACTTTGGCCCCCAGGAGAAATTTATTTGAACAAATATATGAACCAAAATATGCCTGGTTAAGGGCCTTTACCACATCTATCTTTAATGTTCTCATTTACCAGAATGTGGATTTTGATCTCTTACACTATAAAGATTAAAAGCATGTTAGTGGGGTTGAAAACTAATGTACAAGCAAAATTTAGTACTAATTTCCTGAAATTAACACGTAGTGGGCACATAGTCCTGAGGAAGCCAGTTTAGTAACTGTAGTGATTGAGCTGCGCAGAAAATGTATACTTGAATGTCAGATGTTTTCAATTATCTATTTTCTATTCAAATCTCTCCCCAGATTACCTTGTCACTGCAAACTCCAGTGTAGTGATTATTACAGCAGGTGCACGCCAGATAAAAGGAGAGACACGGCTTGATTTAGTGCACCGAAATGTGTCTGTGTTTAAATTCATGATTTCCAAAATTATCCAGCACAGTCCTCGCTGCAAACTGATTATTGTTACCAATCCAGGTCAGCTTTATTTTGACTGTTCAATAGGATTTTTTTTTGGAGGGCGATTGAATTCAATATTACTTGGTAGAATAAAGATTTTACATTTTGTGAGTTTGGCTAGTTTAATTTTTTCAAAGAACTGGCTCTTGATCTTTAATAGTTTGCTTTAAATTTTGTGATTTTTTTCCTTTTAGTTTTGCTTTTCTTTTTCTAGTCCTTTAAGTAGATATTTAAAAATTTGTGGTTATTTTCTAAGGAGAAACGAGGGACTGCCTTTTCAGACCACTGCCCTTTTGCTCTCCCTCAGTTTTATATTTTTCTAATTTCTTAACCCCTTCCCTCAAGATTTTGTTCTTCTTTATTGATACTTATTTAATATTATTTTATCTTCTTTCTACGTTACAATTACATTGCATTTTTATCTATTTAAAAAATACATTTTAGTGATACATATTTATGAGCAGTTTTTTCGATTGTGGTACTTTTGTCATTCAGTTCTAATTATTTTACAGCTCAGTCTTGAATGTACTGTTAGCTTTAAAACATTAAAAAATAACTTTATTGCAGTTGATTCTAACAAAATGAGCTAAGAAATGTGTGCTAATAGTTTTTTGAAAACTGTTTCAAAGGCTTACTTTGTATTCTAGTTCAATAGACATAATCTGTAAATATCCTGCATATACCTGGAGAAAAGTGGACTTTATCGGGCATAAAGATCTAGTTACAATTTTATTGGTTTTATTTACCAAATTCCTTATTTTTAATTACTATCAATTTCTGATGTTAAAATTGTCTTCTATGACTCAAATCCATCTTGTAGTTACCAACTTTTCTTCATATATTTTGAGGCAGTTTTTATTAGCTGTATCTTAAATTCATTATTGTATTGCTGGCGTCTTGCATGTATTATTATGTAGTATCTATTCCCTATCAATGCTCGTTGGTGTAAATTCTGTTTGCTGTTACTGTATCTGCACTGACCTTTTGGCTAAGTTATCACTTTTTAATTCAGCAAGAAAAAAACTGATAAAACTAATAATGTTTAAAAACAGTTCATGTAGCTGAAACATGCCAAAAATTTTCACTTGCTTCCTAGGACTAAGACCTGTTTATATTTTACTTAATGATATCCTGTCTGTACTCCCCCGCCCCCCTTTGCTCATTAACTAGGCTTTTTGCTCTAAATGGTTGTTTTTGGAGAAAATAACTTAAAAGACTTGATAAGGGAGTTATTCATGTTTGTCAAAATTTATGGATTGAACCTACTGTGTTTCTGTACAACAATCTGTAAAGTAAGAACAGAAGTTTTTTAATTAGAAAAATTTTATTGTTGTTTGTAACATACAGGTTTCAGGTGTACAGCATATAATTTCACATTTATACATACATTATGACCACCAAAAGTGTAGTTTCCATCATCCACCAAATATTTGACCCTCCTGCCCTATATTCCCACCCCTCCCATTTTAAAAAATAATTTATTTCTATAGGGTGGATATTGTTGGAATTGCAGTATAGCTGGAATTGGATAGAGATCCATGTTCTCTACCCCCCAAAAAACACATCAAATTCACCAGTTTTTAGATAAATCTAACAAAATGTATTTTAAGATGTGAACTTTTGTCTGACTTGAAGTCTTTCTTCTCAGTGGATATCTTAACCTATGTAGCCTGGAAGCTGAGTGCATTTCCCAAAAACCGTGTTATCGGGAGTGGCTGTAATCTGGACACTGCCCGTTTCCGTTTCTTTATTGGTCAGAGGCTTGGTATTCACCCTGAAAGCTGTCATGGGTTGGTCCTTGGAGAGCACGGAGATTCAAGTGGTAAGTCTAAAAGCACCACTCAACTGTCCATGCTCTCTGAAATATATTTAGGTCTCATTGATCATACAGATATTTAATCATAAGGTAAAATATAATTTCTCCTGAGTGGGAGAAAGGACTTCTGTTCTTTGTTAAGCCCAGTTAGTAATGTTATAATTTTAAAAACATTTTCATAAGAAAATAATTTACCAGAAATACAAAGCTAAAATAATGAGAATGTTACTATAATCTTACATGATGGCTAAAATTGTTAAGACTTTCATATTACAGTCCTAAGGAGTATAACACAGTTTTATTTTACTTGGGACACTCTAGTGTATAATTCAAGTAACATAAATTCTTTAACAAGAAAATTAATTTACATGATGATAGCTCCTTTATTTCCCCTTAATTTCTTCTGGCAAAGAACCCTTGAAATTCAGCTAATACATAAACCCTGTCTATGCAAAAGGACTTGATGTGATAAAAGTTTAAAACTGTCACTTTCTTCCTTGGAAATCTGCTAAGATGACAGAATTGTTTGCCTCATCCAAGGAGAGTCTGATTTTGCAGGTTTGGGTTGGGAAGGTTATGGACATCCGAGTTTTTTGTTCAGTTGACACTGCCAGTTGAAAAGTACTTAGTGCAATTTTAAGTTTAAATTTACTCAAAAAATCCTGCTAAATAGAAGCATGTTGTAAATGGACATTTTATTACTTTCTTTTAAGTTCCTGTGTGGAGTGGAGTGAATATTGCTGGGATCCCACTGAAAGATCTGCATCCAAATATAGGAACTGAAGAAGACTCTGAGCGGTGGGGAGATGTTCACAAACAAGTAGTTTCCAGGTGACAGTTTTGCAACTTCAGTATCTTGGAAGTTAGTTGGGAGCCTGATTCTGCTAGAGGGCTAAGATTTGGCCCCTTAAGTATATATTATGCTGACCATTCTTTTTTCCACACTTTTCCTCCATGAGCACTTCTACTTTTATTTTGTAGATCATCAAATTCACCAGACTGTAAATTCTTAAAAGCAGAGACATGAGACTGTCATGCTCATTGCTGAGCCACACAGTAGGGCCTGTTTACTGACAGTATGTTCTTTTAAGCTGTCTTTATAGTTCTTGCTGTCAGTGGTAATAAAATTGATTGCATAAGCTCTAGATTTCTTATTCTGTAACTGCTTACTTTAAATAACCAATCCTTAAGAAATTTCTAGGATAAATTACTGATGAAAACATTTCATTTTGTGGCATTGTCAAGCTGCCACAAAATGGACATTTGGTAACTTAATAGTTCATGGTTTTTCTTAATTCCCCAGTGGATATGAGATGCTAAAAAAGAAAGGATATACTTCTTGGGGAGTTGGCTTATCTGTAGCTGATTTAACGGAAAGTATTTTGAAGAATTTAAGGAGAGTGCATCCAGTTTCTACTATAAGTAAGGTAGGATATTCATGTTCAAAAAATTATTTAACATTAACAAAAAACGGGTATAAGAGCATATATGAAAATTTTTAAGATGAAGCTGATCATCTGGAAGATTGTCTTTGTTGCTGTGGAAGAGAAACGGAAGGCGGTGGGAAAACTTATTTCTCTATACCGTTGTCCTGGCCTAGAACAGTATTTATTATACAACTAGATAAAGCAAGTATTCTTTCCTCCTACTTAACTGAGCGGACTAACTCATTATACCTATTAACATAGGGAACCACTGTTACTTTATCATTTACTCTCAGCTGGCCCCAGGTATGCCTAGTGAAGAGACTTTAGAAGCACTAGTATAAAAGTACTAGAAGTTATTCTTGTGGGGAGGCTGAAGTTGTGACTTGGCCAAGTTCCCTCTGTTAATCTGCATGGGAAATGTTAAAACAAAACGGAATAAAGTATTAGGAATGTTGAAGTGATTCTGATAGCATTTTGGGGACAAGGCCTACGTAAAAAGATGGTTGATGAACTAGAACACTAAATGTCTGTTTAAAATTGTTGCGTCTTGGTAGTCTCTGCCCCAACTGATACTACAAATCTATTAGTCATTTACACAGCACTGTTCATATTGCAAACCAATTCTGAAGAAAGCAAAAGGAGTAATTTAAAGTCTTCACTTTCAGGGTCTCTATGGAATAAATGAAGAAGTATTCCTTAGTGTTCCTTGCATCCTGGGAGAGAATGGCATTACCGATGTCATAAAGGTAAAGTTGACCCCTGAAGAGGAGGCCCTTCTGAAAAAGAGTGCAGAAATTCTTTGGAAAATTCAGAAGGAGGTCAAGCTTTAAAGTTGTTTAATAAAGCTACTTTTCTTAAGTTATTGAAGAAGAGACAGTCATTATAGGATTACATATGAACTCTGAATTCCTAAAAGCTTGAAAAGGGAACGGTTCTTAGCTTCCTCTTTGATTAAGCATCCAGATATTGGATAACAGCTAACTCAGTACAATTCCTAAGAGACTGTCAGACGTGTTTTGGTACCTTGTCTTGTACTTGCCATCTGATCCAGAACACTGTATGATGTGTGCATCCTGTATGACAGAAGTTCTACTCCTCAGGTATTCTCTTACCCTAGCTGGCCTACACTTATGTTCATGTATATGCTATAAAAAATATATAACTTCCTCTACAATGTAAAAATAAGTATGTACACATATCAGTTTAAGATGGATATTACGCTTTGTTTGCTAAATCAAAAGATTTAAGATTTTGTCTAAAGAAGTTGAATAAAGAAGAGAAAAATTATGCAACAAATTTTATTTAGCATAGTCAGTCCCAACATTCAGCACAAAAAGTTTACAGAGGATAGAAAGTGCATTAATAAAAGCCAGTCTTTACCAAAAGAAAACAGAAAATATATTATTGATTCAAAATATCTTACACTTGAATGATAAACTGCAATAACTTATTCTGGGCACCTACTGATAAGAGAAAGGAAGAGGAAAGAACGCACTGAGAAGAGCTCAATCTCCAGGCGATGTTGGAGAAGTCAGTAGAGGTCACTGAGCCCAGCAGTCTTTCTTGCTTTTTGCATTAGTGCCCTCAGCTGGAACTGTTTACGCGACAGAAGACGTACATGCTGGGGGGGGGGGGGGTTTTAAGAGTTCAGAATTAGAATGACTAGTCCAGACCCAGGCACGAAAAGAATCCTAAACTCATAATTTATGTCAACCCTTCTTTGAAACCAACCTCCAATAGCATGTGGCTTGTAAAAATCTCACTAGACAGATGCTGGTGGGGTGTGGTCAAGTGTCCTTAAGACCCGTTAAAGGCTCACCACCTCACAGGCAAAGCACACATTGCAGGATCTGGCTCATGCGCTTGAGCTACATTTTGAGACAATCAAGATGCCAGGGAAACTAGCATTACGATAAAAAAAAGTTACCCACAAAACCTCTAATGGCTTCAAGGGGGAAGCAGGGATGGGTCATACCACGTCAGCCCTTAGTCTGTTGTCTCGTGACTTTCCCTGTGCATCTTTTCCTCAGCCATGCCTCCAAGCACAGAACCTACACACGGACTGTGGAGGAATGGAGACATCTCTGGGTCTCCAGCTTGCACAGCCCTCCATGTGCACTCCCACCCTCTGGCCACTGTGGAGAGGCAAGATCAGCAGGCAACTGGCCAGCTGCATGTACATGGACAACCAGCAGGTCGAAGGGTGGCTGCTGCTATTCTAAAACTCTGCTTCGACAGCAGCAAACTTGGCTCACTAGATTTTTATGTCTGTCCAACAGCATTAAGCCTGACACTCAGAGAGGCTCTAGACCAGCAGAACAGCCCAATACTTTGCGGGTTGTCTGACGTAGGAAACAGGTCTAAAAGTATGCAGCTTAAAAAAAGTCAACAGAAAACAGAGTGATACAACCAGTGATCTCGTTTTGATTTCACCCCCCGATCCACCCAGGCATAATAGTAAGAATTGCATTCTGCTTGAAGATGTCTGAGCTGGCGCCTCTAGCCCACTTTCCCTTACTCAGAATATCTTCAGCCCTCTGCTGGTGAGAAGACCATGCTCTCCGGAAAGATAACGGATGTTAACCCACCTTCTAGGTCTGTGATTTTCAAGGTCAGTGCCTATAGAACACAATGTCCAAAACCCCCGAAAACTGAGTGGGGAAAGACATACCTTGAGGAAGACATCCAAGTCTATTACTCCCCGGCGCAAGGCTTCTCCCAAATAAAAGATAGTGTCTTCAATAGCATTTTCCTCTGCATACAAATTTAGGATCTGTTTGTATAGTGGAGCTGTGGGAATGATAACTTCATCAATGTCATTGTTTTCAGACTGATTTTCCATTTTCTCCAGAGCAGAACTTAGTTCTTCATCCTTCTTTCTCAAAAGTTCTATGTTTTTATCAACCTCAGCCTGAAAACAGAACAGTCCAAACATGATGATTCTGAAGTAACTATACATAAATATCTGCTTTTCAGACCTACAATTCAATTTCAGACACAAGACTTGCTAATAAAAAAGATGTTTTAAACAACTCACGGATGCTTCATTTTAAATACACTGGTCACTGGCAGAGGAAAAGATGTGATCTAACATGCAGTGAACACAGGATGCTGAGCATTCCCTGAGCTGAGCGCTTCATGGACAGTGATAAACTTGCCATTTATCTGTGACAAGCACTACTGCAAACTAAGCTGTTACACAAGATACTTTCCAGCAGGATGTTCCTGACGTTCCTTCTTCCAAACAAATGGGTATCTGCCATAGTTTATAAGGACTGATGCGCAGAACCCCGCATACTTGAGCTTTAAACAGTGCAGCTGGTGGTTGCAGGCTCTGAATTGTGCTGATAATCACTTTCCTGAACTTTTGAAAATAGTTGGGTACTGGGAAGCTCACTTTACACACTGGAACCCTTTAAAATTTTTTTATTTTCTATTTTTTTGCATAGAATTGGGATGTAAGGCCAGAGGTGTTAGGGGTGAGAGGATTCATCAGAGCCACAGTGGGGAGCAGCATGTGAGACAGGAGAACTCTGCTGCACCAGGGTCACCTCCCTGACTAGTGATCAAACTCAGGCTGTATCAGTGATAGACTTAACCCCTAGGCCACCATATACAAATCCCTTTCCCCAAGGCCTTCAGACATTCAGTAACTCTACCCTTTCATCACAATTACATTTATTGGGATGAATTCTCCCTCACAGAAATGAAAGTAGAATGTGATGCTGGCACGCAAATGATGCTAGTATCTCCAACTTCACTAAGCGAAAGTCACAGGGCTGATTTCTACTAATCTTCAGGGCCCAGTAGTCTGTTAAGAATTGGAGAAACAGGCCCTCCCTGGTGGCGCAGTGGGTTAAAGCACAGCACTGAGAAGCTAAAGCCACTTCAGCATGAGTT